AAAAAACAAAAAAAAAAACATAATATTTAAATTAAACAATGCAATAAATTAAAATATTATAACTAATGATATATTTTCTCATCTTTCTTTCAATTACTATCAAAATAAAATTCAATAAAAACATTTTTACCTTGCAATCCTTAGCGAAATCTTTTACATGTTCATATTCTGATACAAAAAATACTGGATCGATATTATGTACAGTCGATTCATTAATTAGCTCATTTATCGATAGTAATATTTCGCATGCTTCATTATATACTGATTCAAATGCATTACATTTTTCATCAATTGTAGAGACTGAATGCGCATCATCCTTACATTTTTGTAATGTTTTCATACGAATTCTTAATTTTTCAAATTTGTCATTCAGCACTTTCAAATATTCCATTTGTGCATTCTTATCTGCACGTAGTTTTTTCACATCAGCTGCTAATGTCTGCACATTTTCATCTTCAACAGAAAATTGTTGTAATTGTTCTTCGAGTTTCACCAATTCTTCTTCATCACATGTTTTGCTGCGTAAATTTTCTACTGTCATTTTTAATGCTGCTATTTTTTCATCTTTTTCTATTCTTGCTGCAGTATCCAATTTTACGTTAATGAGAACATACAATTGTTTTAATTGTTTTTTGAGTAATTCAACTGTTGGTTCACATTTACGATCAACATGGATACGATTTCGTTTTGTATCATCATTTTTATCCTCAAGAAGTTGTATTTGAGCTTGCAATGAAGGCAAATGATAGTTTAATATCTGAAATAAATAAAACAACTTGCTAATTAACATTAATCAATCATGTTAATACATTACAACATAAAATTTCAATTTTTTATTTATAATATTAAAATAATAACAAAATTTCAAATTAATTACCTCGTCAAGTTCATAGCAAACTGATGTATCTATAAGTTTACTATGAAGAAGTTCAAATTCTGCAGCCAATTGTGCAGCAGATTCATTTAAAATTTTTTCGTCATGTAATTCTTTGTTTAACAATGACATTAATCCTTCATACTGCTGTTCTGTTTGTTCTACATCCACGTCGTAAAAGCGAACATCAGCATAAGCGATTTCTAAAGGAGCTAATTGCTCGCATAACTTTTGCAAGTTTGCCATCAAAACGCGTAATTCCTTTAATTCTTCAGCTGCTACCTATATTTTAACATAAATTTACATCAATTATAAGAAGTACAAAAAGTAAAGCAAAAGGAAAAAATAAATAAATAAATAATACAAAAAAAAAAAA